TTTTGCTCAGGTGCTGTGTAGAGAGAGGGTGTGTGGACGCTGTTACTGGGAGATTGAGTGGAGTGGATGTGTGCGTACATCAGTGTCATATAAGAGCATCAGCAGGAAGGGATCGGGTAATGAGTGTTGGTTTGGATCAAATGATCAGTCCTGGAGTTTGTTCTGCACTCCCTCCAGTTACTCATTCATACACAATAACGTACAGACTGCTCTCTCTGTGAAGTCCATCAGCAGTAGAATAGGAGTGTGATAATGATGATGAAAACAGAAAGAGGAACTGGAACATTCACACACTACCGTTCAGAAGCTGGGGTCAATATATTTTGTTTTTGTTTAAAGAAATGTATTTTATTCCACAAGGCTGCATTAAATTGATCAAAGTGACAGTAAAGACGTTCATAATGTTACAAAGGATTTTGATTTCAAATAAATGCTGCTCTTTTGAATTTTTTATTCATCTGTGAATCCTGAAAAACAAAATATATCAGTTTCCACAAGAATATAACTGTTTCCAACACTGATAATAATCAGAAATGTTTCTCGAGCAGCAAATCATATTAGAATGATTTCTGAAGATCATGTGACACTGAAGACGCTGAAAATTCAACTTTGATCATTTAAATAAATTACGGTTTACAATATATTCACATAGAAAACAGATATTTTAAATAGTAATAATATTTCACAATTTTTACTGCATTTTTGATCAAATAAATGCAGCCTTGATGAGCAGAAGAGACTCTTTCAGAAACATCTCACACATTTGCACAGTAGCATAAGTACTAGTATAAAAAGAAGCCTGATTTAACGAGAGACAGAGACTGGCTTGTAATGATACTGTGAGTGACACAATGACCTGAATATACCAGGAAAGACACTTAAATAATTCCACTGTCGTAAGGGAAAAAATGTAATGTTGCATTTTTTTATACAAGTAAAACATCCTCTATTCACTCATCTTCGGCCGCTAGAGCAAGCATTTTTGGACCGTGCCAAACAGCTGTGAGTGACCTGAGCGGACCTGTGCTGCTGTGGCTAAGGCGGGAAGGTAAGGTGCTGTAGCCTCTCCAGTCGTGGCTGCCGGGGCCGCTGGGGGCCGGTGTGGGGCCGAGCGAGGTGTTCAGCGGCGCTATTGCAGTCGGCATCGACACACCGTTCTCCTGCTGCTGCTGGCGACTGAGGCAGGCGTGACGAGCAGACAAGAGATAGAGAAACGCAGTGTCGCCGTCCCTGTAGATGCCATACGACGCTAGAGACCGTCCGTCAGAGCACAGACACTGAGCGATGACCCAGCGCTGCACCCTGGGGTGGAAACCATACTCAACAAACATCTGCAAGAGACAAACACACCATCAGATCAATCCAACACATCAGATCTGACTTCAAGACGTGCTTTGATCTTTCCTACCTGCTGCTTCAGAGAAGCGACGGTCACGTGAGGGTGGACTTTCACTGTGACACAGCAGGAAGACGACGCATCTTCTACAACCACAGCTAAGCTGAAAAAAAAAAAAAAAAAAATCACATCTGTGAAATCTGTCACCATCAGGCTTTTATGCATCTTTATGTACACTACCGGTCAAAAGTTGGGATCAGTAAGACTTGAAATGTTTTTAAAGAAGTCTCTTCTGCTCATCAAGGCTGCATTTATTTGATCAAAAATACAGAAAAAAAAAAACAGTAATCTTGCAAAATGTTATTATAATATAAAATAATGATTTCTATTTTAATATCCTTTAAAATACAATGACAAAAGAGAAAAAAAAAAAAAAAAAAAATCACATCTGTGAAATCTGTCACCATCAGGCTTTTATGCATCTTTATGTACACTACCGGTCAAAAGTTGGGATCAGTAAGACTTGAAATGTTTTTAAAGAAGTCTCTTCTGCTCATCAAGGCTGCATTTATT